TTAAAATACTACTTAATATATATATATATATAAACTTGATGAGTAGTATTTTGAGCCAAAACGAGCCGAACACGAACGAACACATCTTAATTCGTGTTCGGCTCGTTAACTTATCGAACGAAATTAACGAGCCGAACACGAGCTTCTTAACAAGCTGAACACGAGCTGTTCGCGAACAACGAGCCGTTTTGATAGCCCTAGTTCCATCTGTAAACTTGGCAATTTTGATAGTTGTTGTTAGTTCATGCGTTGTTCTGTTCATGTTCTGCATTGACTATGAAATACTTTTTGAGTTGTTCTTTCATACTTTTGAATATTTTTCTCTGGGATGATGGGTTTGTATCTTTTGTGCAAATACTTCAACCGGTTTCGTTGAGTTTTTCAGCCTGAATCAGTGTTTGCACTCTTCCGTGTTATAGCCATAGACCTTGTGGTATTTACAAAATTTATTTGTTTTCCAAAGAAAAGCTCTCGTTCTTATTGGTGGAGCCTTTTTAAAGTAATTTTATTTTATGTCTTCCACCAACTACGCCATCAATTCCCTCAACAAAGTGGCTTTTGGTACCTCTTGGTCGTTTGTTGATCGGTCATTTGACTGGCTCTATCCTCTTCTCTGGTGGTTTCTGTCGACTCCTCTGCTATCATGAGTTGGCCGACTTTCTTCACATCTGCGGTGTAGGTCGTCCTTTGGCCTCCACCCATCATCTCGCGAAGTTCTCTTCTGTGAGTGGCAATCGGATTGCTCGGCTTTCTCTTAGGATGTGCGGGCATACTACTTCGCTTAAATGTGGTGGTTTGCTAACTCCAAGAATTCAGCCAGGCTCTTGGGCTGTTGCAAACCCGAGCATATCTGAAGCCTCCTTAGCCCTTGGGCTAGGGCGTCCTGTGCTACAACAAGTTTCGGAACTGAGCGACATACGGACAAATATTCTCATTTGACTTGCTTGAATTGCCACAGGGCATGTGAATTTTTGATGGGTTTCTGGGCGCTGACAAACTATGCCATGAACATATTCTTGATTTTGGCGAAGGAGGTGATTACTTCTGTTGGGAGGCAGTTAAACCACTTGATGGCCAAGTCTCTCGACATGATGTAAAATAACCGACATTTCAGTGCGTCAAAAATTTCGAGAAGGTAGAAGACCAACTCAAAGGAAGTGATATGGTCGGTTGGATCGCTTCGACCCTCATTTGATTCTAAAAAAAGAAGTTTGAACTTCTCTGGTGGCTTAACATCAGAGATCTGCCGGAAGAATGCATTCTTCGGCTAGCGGTAGAGCTCCATACTCCCAAATCGTTATCTGATCAATGGTGTAGACCCCGTACTATGCTGGTACTAGGAGTCTTCTATCGTTTCTGCCGCCTGAGACTTTCGACAGCCTTGGGGTTCGGGTTCTTCTCTAGGGTTTTGCTCCCGGGAAGCTTGCTCTCTTTCCTCGAGTGACACGCGGGTCAATTCTGTCATCTGACCCGTCATTTGGTCTCTATGTTATTGGATTTGCTGTTGCACAAATTCCCTCGTGTACTCCAAGTTTGCAGTGTCTCCCAAATGAGTCATTTCTATGGTGTGCTCCTCTTCTTATTGATGGTATGATCCACACTCACTGCACCTTTTAGGATGTTGAGTCTAGATATGTCATGTGAATCACACTCAAGATATAGAGCGTAGATCGGACGAGAGAAATAGAGAAGGAGATTGAGAAAGAGAGGGTGCACGGTAACATAAGAGTTTTTATAGTATAAATTCAATAATTCTTTATTGATGAAATAACCCCTTATTTATAGATTTCGGGGTTACCTTGTGTAGAATTATATGTCTCTATTTTAATTGGGATGTTACAATGTATTATGAAATCTTTTCATATTCATAATCAACTCCGACACCCTTTCGTATTGATAAAAAATCTTATACCGTTTCATATTCATAAGCGTTTGAAGAAAGACATCTGATGACCTGGAAACTTTATCATTCATTTGAATGGAAGCCTTTGGTCGGCCGACAGACATCCGGTTAGCCAAACGGTCGTCTGACTATCTTAAGAGAGAATTATGAGAAAACGACCTCTGTCGTTAGAATGAACTGGACTGTCAGACAGGGTTGCACCACTGTAATTTGACGAACAGTTCTTCTTGGACAATGAGCCTTCTTAGAGGGTCAGAAAAGGAGTTCAATGGGTGGCATTTTGGTCATTTTATGAGGAGTTCCATAATCGACCGAAGGGGTTGGCCATGAACGATTGTCCTTCAGATCAGATTCCTTCTATTTCTTCATTCGGCTATGCTTCCGTTCGGTCGGTTTAAAGTTTCGACCGTAGGAAATTATGCTTGAAGTTCCCGTCTTTTGATTATACTGTTCTTTAGTGTTTATAAGCGACACTCATTGGATTTCCTCAATTATTGCGGACATATTTTTGATGTACAGAATTGAATATGGGCAAATTTTTTTTTGGATTTTTTTGTTGATTTTCTTTTGCAACGAATTGGATAGTCTAAAGTTAATATATCTATCTATCTATATATATATATTGGCCTTAAGGAAACTTCATTCAGAACTCAGCGCAATAGTTTATTCATTTTTCTTTGCTTTTTAAGAAACTCTTATGCTTTTGCAGAGCTAGTTAATATCTTATGGTGGTAACTTAGAGGTGCATTTTCTGACGCTAATCGGCTTCCATGAAGACATAGAAGAGGTTTTAACATTTATGAAAAGATGAAAGGGGCAAGTTTAAACAAGCTGAGAGGCGCAAAACTTTCAATTTCTTTCATAGCTTTAATTTGCACGTCTCTTCTTATTTGGGCATGGGAGCCTCTTTTAGCGTCTGTTTTGCCACTTTCAGATCACTTTGATGTCCGCTTGGGTAATTTCTATCCAGGTTAGTTTCTGGGAATCTTCAAATATATTCCATTTATTCGAAATTCTCTCTATATTCATATATTTGTTTTTATGTATTGTCTTTTTATTGTTTTTTTTTTACTTGGTTTTTTTCTATTCACTGCTTCGTATTTTTTGTTTAATTATTGGGGCATGTACTTACATCGCACACAATTATTATGTATTTACATATCCCACACTTAAATTTTTATATTTACACACATGGAACTCAAATCTTTATTATTGCATAAAAAATAACACTCTTATCATTTTTCAAAAGTGAAACATCTTTTCATGCATAGGTTTAAAACGCCAAAATGTTTTGTGTGTAAATATGGAAGTTTAGGTGTGTGATATGTAAATACATAAGACTTGTGTGCTGAGTATGCAAATTTCTCTTTATTTATTCTGTTGTCTCCCTGTTTACGTTTTGTTATTTTTGTTTTGTTGACAAGTTAGCTTGCATCAATCAAATCTTGCATTTTTTTGAAAATGAAGCTCTAGATGGTTTCTATTGATGATATTATCATCTAAAGTTATGAAGAGCATAAGCAAACCGCCAGCTTCATTCTCATTGATTTGGTTGTATCAAATCCAGAAACATGAGTGTGCTAGTTCATTTTAAATTCTCAGGTATTAATAACGTAAATAAGGAAGATTACAGCGGCACACATGTTAATGCCCCTTGTTTGTTTATTGACTTTTGTTGTATTATTCGTCCATGTGTGCGTTGATTGCTTAAGAAATTCCCCTGATTCAATTTAATTTTGAAGGTCAGCAACAACCCACAGAGGATGATTTTCTCAAAGCAGAGCGACATGCTGTACCTGTTACTGAAGGGATGCAGTATATTGGTGAGAATGCAGATGCAAATATGGCTCATGATTTGGTCAATGAGCTATCGGAGCATGGCATTTCTCCTCCTTCGGGTACCCTGAGATTGAAGTCAGGTACAGATCCTGATGGTGACAGACATTCGGATGCAGCATCTGATAAAAAGAAAGGTTTCTATCTATATAACGATTTGTTTGTTTATATTTTGGGGTTTTTACATACATGCCACACAATTCTTATGTACATACCTAACAACTAAACATCCATATTTACATGCGTGCCACTCAAATCTTCAACATCTAATCAAAGATGCCGCCGTCACTACCTTTTTAAAAGTGAAACACAACTTTTCATGCACAGGCTTATGACACCAAGGTATTATGAATGTAATTGTGGATTTTTGGGTGTCAGATAAATGCATAGAAATTGTGTGGTATGCATGTAAATTTCTCTTTTATTTTTGAACCCATGAATTGAAAGCATACCATTTCTAATACTTGGCATTATCAACCTTCTATTTAAATTTTGTCGAATATGCTTAAATTTTCTCATTTGAAATTGAAATTTTTTATGTTAGAGGTGTTTATGCCCCTTAAGTAGGTTTAAATGTAAGTTCAGAAGAAAAATTTTGTAATGAACTGTAAGAGTTAATAAAAATGATACCTTTTGAAGAAATAACTTTTTTGATGGAGATTTAAATGAACATATTGATAGAGTGATAGAAGATTTTAGAAATATTCATGGTGACTATGATTTTTAGGTAAAATCATATTAGATTTTGTTTTAGGTTATGATTTTGTATTTTTAATACTTTATTTAAGAAAAGATATGAGCATATTGTTACTTATAAGAATGTATCTAATAAAACATAAATTGATTGTTTTATTATGGGAAAAAGAGACTGTCGAGAATGTAAAGATTGTAAGGTCATTCCAAGAGAAAATTTAAGTACTCAACATCGATTATTAGTTTTGAATTTTAAGATAAGGAATTGAAGATAAAAAATTCAATGAAATATTGTTGTAGAATTAGATGTGGACACCAAAAATTTACAAATAAAATTATTTTTATAAGTAAACTTCAAGATTTAGGATGCTCACAAAGAAGCTAATTCTATGTGGGATAAAATAACAAACTATATTAAATAAGTGATAAAAGATGTATTTGAAAAATCAAATGGAAAAGTTCTTAAAATAGTCGTTGTTGGAATAATAATGTGCAATAAAAGATATATATTAAAAAAATTGTTATAAAAATTATTTTAAATATAAAAGATTAGAGAACCAGAAAAAATATAAGGTGGCCTATAGGGAGTTTAAGAGGAACAATTTGCAGCGTTGAGAATTCTGCTTTTAGTGATCTTTATAATATATTAGATACTAAAGAGAGTAAAAAATATATGTCTAAACTAGACAGACGAAGAAAAGAAAAGTAAAGATTTACTTCAAGTAAAGTGTATTCAAGATGAAAATAAAAAATATTTTCTTAGATGAAGATTTTCGACATAGGCGGGCGAGATTTTTTGATAAAATTTTTAATGAAGTTTCTGAAAATACGATCGACCTTAATGATCTTCATATCGTTAATAATAATAATGCTTTTTATTTTTACCGTTGCTTTAGTAAAAAAAAAGTAAAGGGGGCTTTAAAAAAAGCCAAGGATGAAAAATCAATAGGTCTTGATGATATTCTAGTTGAAGTGGAAATATTTAGGAGATTTGAGAGTTTCTTGGCTTATTAAACTCTTTAATATTATTTTAAAACTAAAAAGATGTCAGAGCGGTAGGGAGAGTCTTTTTGGCCTCATTTTTAAGAACAAAGGGGATGCAAAAGAGTGTGCAAATTATAGAGGAATTAAGTTAATGTGTCAGACATTAAAATTATGGGAGAGTGATTTAACATAGGTTAAGGCGTGATACAAAGATTTCTCATAAGCGGTTTGGGTTTATATCAGACAAGTCTACCATGGAAGTTATACATTTATTGAGAGGCTTAATGGAGAAGTACAGAGAAAGTAAGGAAGATCTACATATAAATTTTATTGATTTAGAAAAAAGTTACAATAGGTTTCCAAGAGAAGTTCTTTGGAGAGTTTTAGAAAAGAAAGATGCTGATATGATTTATATTCAATTCATTAAAGGTATGTACACTAGAGTTGTTACTTGTGTTTGAACAGAAGAAGGATTGACCAAGTAACAACTCTATTTCAGTTGAATTACATTAGGGATTGGTTTGAAGCTCATATCTTTTTGCTCTAGTTATGGATGTTCTTACTGGACATTTATAGGAGGATGTACCTTATTGTATGCTTTTCGCTGATAATATCCTTTTTGTGGATAATACTATAGAAAGAGTTAAAGAAAAACTTAATATCCGAAGGTCTACATTGGTGTTCAAAGGTCTTCATTTGATTAGATCTAAAATTGAGTACATGAAATGTAATTTTAGTAGTAGTAGATTTAGTGGTAGAATTGTTACTATGGGTGATAAAATCATTAAAAGGTGTGATCGTTTTAGATATCTTGGGTCTTTTGTTCAATGTTATGGTAATATAAATGGGGATGTTATTAGTAGAATTCAAGATGGTTGGCTGAAATGGAGGATTAAATTAGGCCTATTGTGTGATAAAAAAAATATTGCTTGGACTTACTGGAAAATTTTATAAGATGGTGGTGAGAATAAGATGGTGGTGAGACTTGAGACTTGTAATGCTTTATGACGCAGAATGTTGGCCTTTAAAAGAAAAGCATAAAACAAAGTTCAGTATTGCTAGGATGAGAATGCTTTGGTGGATGAGTGGCTGGACACTTAAAGACAAAATACGAAATGAATGTATTCGTGAAAGGGTTTGTGTAGGCTTGGTCATATTAGATGTCGACCATTTGAGGGTTCGGTAAGGAGAGTTGATGTTTTAGATTCGACTTATGTTAAGCAAGACAGAGGTAGACCTAAAAGGATTTGGGAAAATTGTATAAAAAATGATCAAAATTTATTAAAATTAAATGAAAATTTGACACTCAATAGGACACAATGGAGAAAAAGGATTTATGTAGCTGATCCCACTTAGTGCGATAAAGGCTTGTTGTATGTTTAAATTTCTTCATTTTGAACCTTTGTTTCTTGTTGAATGAAGTTGAAATGAACTTATAGCCTTCACCATACAAGTGGTTGATTTACTTATCAATATTTTGTAGTGAATTTTTCCTTGAAACTAATTATGTGAATATTTTTTGATTGTTGATTCTGTAGACTGTAATTATGCCAGGGGAAAATGGGCTGTGGACAAACGGCGACCATTGTATTCAGGTTTCGGTTGCAAGCAATGGCTCTCTGAAATGTGGGCTTGTAGACTGACCAAACGAACAGACTTTTCCTTTGAAGCTTATAGATGGCTACCAGAAAATTGTGAAATGCCAGAATTTGAGGGATCTGCTTTCTTGAAACGGTAGGCTTATGCTCCAGTGTCACTGATTTCATTTGGTCGCACCATTCATTTAGAATAATGTTGTTTATCATATCATTTTTGTTGAACTCCAGGATGCGACATAAAACTCTTGCCTTTGTGGGGGATTCCTTAGGAAGACAGCAATTCCAATCCATGATGTGCATGATCACTGGTGGCAGAGAAACCTCTGATGTGGAAGATGTTGGAAGATCTTATGGGCTTGTTAAAGCCCGTGGTGCTGTAAGACCTGATGGTTGGGCTTACCGCTTTCCTAGAACAAACACAACCATTCTCTACTACTGGTCAGCAAGCCTGTGCGAGTTGGAGCCTCTAAACCGATCCGATGCAGATACCCATTACGCCATGCATCTCGATCGCCCTGCTTTTTTCTTAAAGCATTTTCTTCATCGTTTTAATGTTTTGGTGCTTAACACTGGGCATCATTGGAACAGGGGGAAGCTTAGAGCTAACAAATGGGAAATGTATGTTGGTGGGAAGCCAGTTGTGGATAGGAAACTTGCACAGATAGCAAATGCCAGGAATTTTACCGTTTACAGTGTTGTGAAATGGTTGGATTCACAGCTTCCCCTTCATCCAGGACTGAAAGGTTTCTATAGATCAATTTCTCCAAGGCATTTTGTCAATGGAGATTGGAATACTGGTGGCAGCTGTGATCATACTACTCCATTAGGCGGCGGAAGTGAGGTTACTCAAGTTCATTCGAGTGATACTGTCGCCGAGGGTGCTGTGATGAGAACGAAGGTTAAGCTTTTGGATATTACCGCTTTATCACAGTTGAGAGATGAATGCCACATATCGAAGTATAGTGTCAAAGCTTCTACCGGCGCACATGATTGCTTGCATTGGTGCTTACCGGGTGTTCCTGATGCGTGGAACGAGTTGCTTTATGCACAAATATAAAGCATCATTCTAACATGAAGAAGTATATTAGTTCAGAAGATGAGGAGATATCTAGATTCTGTGATTGTCTCTCCCATTGTTGCTTCAAGTTATGAAATGATAGCAAGCTCAGCTGCAATCTCGTGTTTGGCTGGCTTTTTTTTTGGAAGAGAGCAGAAGCCAGTGTCTGTAGAGTAACGATATTCGGCGGGATAGATTCATAAAGAAAGTTTTGATTTGTGATAAAACATGTTATTACAAGTGCTCTCATTCTTCGTCCGCAGGTTTATGTGGATTACTCATTTTAAATTTGTTTTGAATGTGTTAGTATGTTAAATTTATAATATTAACAATTCAGGCTGGTAGAAATGAAATAATTTTTCAAGATGGCTGGACTTTTGGATGTGGCTGGAAGCAATTACCAAGTTCTTTCTAGGTTTTCCTATTTGTTTGTTTGTTTTATTGCTGTTTCATGTTGCGATATTGAGTGGAGCGATAAGTGATAGTTTCAGGAAGTTATGTAGGACTTTCTAGGGTTTGGATTTTTATGATGTCAAGTCGGGTTGAATGCACAGAATTACACATGCAAGGTCAAATTGTCACTAGACACAAAATTTGAACCAGATCGTTTTGTGATGATCACAAAGTATAAATGTTACATGAAGAACTAAGACGTTTGAAAATCATAGTCTTTCCAAGACAAAAACAATTGAAGAAAATGAAATTTGTATGCATAGCACCAATTCCAATGTATTTACATGCTCACACCTATATTTTCATATTTGTATACATAATTAACACTTTGGCGTTTTAAGCCTATGCATGAAATGAAAGTGTATTTCATCTTTAAAAAAAATGATCATAGTTCTATTTTTAATTTGATATTAAAGATTTGAGTGATATTTGTGTAAATATGAAAGTTTAGGTGTGAGATATGTAAATACATAAGAATTGTCTTATGTGTCATGAACCGACCCATAACTTAAATATTAACTGAGGGAACAAACAGTTTATCTTATTCTGTACCTATCACTTATAGTTTAATAGTCAAATATTTATTGAAAAAATCACAAAAGAAAGTAATTAAAATAATAAGTATAAATCTTACATTTTTGGTTGTTGAACTTATCTTTTGGTCACATTAGTTCCACAAGTATTCATTTTATTCAAAAACATAAAACTAGAAAAAATACTAAATAATATAATAAGTTATATTTCCAATGGAACAACCACACTTAATATCCATGAAAACGAAGATAATATGTATGTTGGTCTTTCATATTTTATTATAGAAGATCTTATAATAATATAATATACGTGTCCTGATATTTATTCAATGGAAATAACTTTAACTGTAATCTTCAGAGTTTAATCTTTAACTTTATTTTTATTTCATGCTATTAACATTCACATCTATCCTAGAAGCAATAAAACATAACTTAACATATCATTAAATGATATTATCCCGTTGATACAACAATTTATGATCTATTTTGCATGATTGTCTGATGTAGAAAGATGCATATTCACCCCTTTCCTGTTATTCTACCATCAGCACAATAGTTAGCGATCTAAACATCATAGTTGTCTGGGGTAATAGGATAATATTTACGTGTGTGGGTGCATTGGCATTTTTTGCTTGTACTATAAGGGTGTAAAATCTTCTCTTATATTTAAGAAATTTGCCATTCATGACAACTCTAGTTTAAATTAAGTGGTTGATATTTTCATAAAAGCTCAGGTCCCTCTATTGTTATCTTGTTCATGAAACCAGCTGATGCTAGTTAATATTTGTGTTCTAGCTCATATTTGTCAATTGCATTGGATGATGCATGACATGTAGCATGGTGCGATGCCATTTATAGGGTGCTATAAAGGGGAATAAAATTGTGTGCACTATTATGATTAAGTCTTGAAATTAATTTTAATATTATGAATTTTTTTATTTTCATTGGGGGTTTTGGTTTAATTTTATTTTAATTTATGAATTGAACAAGATAGGCACAAGAGCTCTTGGCCTCTCTATTCTTCTTGACCATGATGTTCCCCAATTCAACTCAATAAGAATTCTGTTTGTCGGACTTGACCCTTGATACACCAAAATAATATGTTATTTTAAGCATACATTTTATGCTTATTTTTGGTGATATCACACTTTAAAAAAGGGCATTTTCATGTTTTTGTTGCAGGTATATCAATTTTAGGCATTTGAAGAAAAAATAATTAAAATGATGAAATTTGGAGGCAAAACAACGAATTTAAAGATTCTGGCTCCTGAAGCGCCATTTTACAGAGAGCTGACACTTGAAGCGCCAAAACCCAAAACAATGCGGTCTTAAGAAGGATGGCGCCTGAAGTGCCAGAACCAGTGCTAGAGATGACTTTTTACGAATTAAGGCAATTCGAGTCAAATTTTGCGAGAATTTTGTTTGCGAGAATTTTGAAAGGGATTTGAAAGGGACACTTATTCTAAACGCCCCATGGAGTGATTCAATGCATCTAGACACTTTGGAAGGTTCTTTTATGAAGGGATATGTCTTTTTGATCAGTAGACATGTCTTTTGAATTTAAAAGGGTTGACTTTTGGATAGAATTTTGGAGGGAATTTTGAATTCTTATTGGAGGGAGACAACTTATAATAAAAGAGAGAGAATTTTAGGGCTTGGAGAGGAGGCATTGGAGTAGGCTCGAAGGGAGGGTTGAAGTGAGAGAGTAGCATGAGATAGAGAGAGAGAAAGTCAAGGACTTGGAGATTTTCTTCAAGGATTGTAAGAGGAGAGGGAAAGTGAGAGATTTTTTCTTCATTACACTTCTAAGAGAGAATTGAGAGTGCTTGTAAAGAGGGAAAATGCTTGAAGAAAACTTCTAGGGTTTTGTTTGGGAAGGATTGTGAGATAACTTGTGTTCTTTTATTTCTTTGTTTTGTAAAACTCATTTTTATATATGAAATCCGTGTTTTGTTGTTTCCTTCTCATGAATTCTGAGTAGTCTTCTTTATCCTTCTCCCTACTTTGAGATATGATTTTGTGAATTATTGATTTTATTTTATATGATTTTAAATGTCAATAATTTGTGATGATTTAAACTCTGATCTTCATTTACTTTTTGATTTGGACAATTAAAATGTTAAAATGTGTTGAGAAACATATGTTCCAAAAGGGCTATGATTTCTTCAACATTGGACATTTGATTCATCACATTTGATTCCATGGGAGAGAATGTCATCCATGGAATTGAGTGCAAATAAATAAGGAAATATACATTGTTGGATGAAGAATTGGAGATTTTAGGGTGACAGACTAAAATCCCCAATTCGATCTCCAATTTGGTCCAGTTGATTGGAAACTAATGCGAGATTGTTAGCCCTCAAGTGAGGGAGAAGTGGGAGTTCTGGAGCGAGAGCAGGGTATCCTCCCAACCTAACCATGCAGCATAACTGCGAAATTAGGAACAAAACTCTGGATTAGTCAATGTTCGTTATGCACTTTGAAGAGGGTAAATAATAGGATTGTATTAGGGACCATATATATATTCAAAGGATTTTAATTTCTTCACAATCCATATAATCATTGTAAAGTAGAAGGATGCTTTCTTAAATTTGAATTCTTCACCACAAAAAACTTTATTTGGTTTTCATAAGTTTACTTTTGAAAATTTAACAATTAGTTTAATTAATATATTCTTTTAACTATATTTTATTTAACATTCACTCAATTACTTTTGATTCAAATTTTGTACTTCACTTTTGTAGTTTAAATTGTAGTTTACATTATAATCATAAGAATTTATCTATAAACATTTCCAACTTTCCTGCGGGATTGATATCTAGGACTCCATTAGAACCCTTTATTACTTGTGCGATACGTATATTTGCATTATTTATAGGGGATTTGACAGTTTAAAGATTTATAAAAGATAAAATTATTTTCACTAAAGTTATATTTGTTGGGATTAAATTGTATATTTACTGTTGTATCTGTCGTGTGTATTTTAAAATATTAAAAAATATTTGCCAAAGTAACACACTAAATCCACCCGCATCAACCCTCTCCCATATAGACAATCTTAATCAAGAGCTTCCATGCACAACTCGTTAAGCCCACCACTCCAGTATTGATGCTTAGATAATTGATTTTGCATTTCAAATGACTTCAACAAGCCTTTGGGTTTTAGGATCTCACGATCAAGGTGATTCAAATCTTCTTTAATACCTTCAACAGTTAGATGAGGGCTTTAAAGTTTCAAACTTTCATTGTTGTAGCCTTTTCTTTCATTTAAGTTCATCTTAGCCTTTCAGTTTAGTGCAATGTTTTGGTTTGATTGAATAGGCTCATTAATTTATTTACAAACTCATATAGAGATTTCCTTTTTTATTTTTAGTTATTTCATAAAATAATGGCTAGGAAATTTGATAGTATTTTCTGTATTATTCTATGGATCAAGTACTAAATGAATTCTTGATAGAAAAAATTTTAACGTTTGTGGCTTTGAAAAAGTTCTCAATTCTATTTCTCATTTAATTCATCAATTTTATCAATTAGTTGAGCCCTTGAGCCATTGAATCTTTGAACCAAATCATTATTCTTTGTTTTCCTTAATATGAAGGTTTATCATTCAATATGGCAATCTTTTACATATATTAGCTATATTTCTATCCATAATTTCTAATTTTTAAGCTATATTCAAATAACATGTGTTGCGAGATACAAAAAAATAATATACTATTTTAAGTACCATTTTTATGCCTATTTTTGGTAATATTGAACTTTAAAGTAATATGTTTTTGTGTTTTTGTTGCAGGTATACCAATTTAGACATTTGGAGCAAAAATGACAAAAGGAGCAAAATTTGGAGCAAAAACAAACAATTTTGGGGTTTGGCGCATGATGCGCCAAAATCCAGAGCGCTGGCGCATGATGCGCCAGGTATAGCTTTTTCAAATTAAGGCGGTTTGAGACAAATTTTGCGCAAATTTTCAAAGGGACACTTGTTCTAAACACCCCATGGCGTGATTCAATGCATCTAGACACTTTGGAAGGTTGTAATTTGAAGGGATTTGACTCTTGGATCAAAGAGGCACATCTTTTGAATTCAAAGGTTTGACTAGTGAATTTTGGAAAGAAATTGAAATTTTTTTTGAGGAGGCATCCCAAAATAAAAATTAAGTTGGAGAAGAACTTTAGGGGGGGCGAAAAAAGATAGGTGGCGTGAGAACCCAGAGGGAGAGATAGAGAGAGATTGTCAAGGGCTTGGAGATTGTCTTCTAGGGTTATAAGAGGAGAGGGATGGTGAGAGATTTCTTCTTTATTACACTTCTAAGAGAGAATTGAGAGTGCTTGTAAAGAGAGAAAGACTTGGAGAGAACTTCTAGGGATTTGCTTGGGA